ATTGCACGTTTTAAATTTGATATTTTTCTTGGTTTTTTTTTTCTAGTCTCTTTATTGCTGATTGTTTATGATTACGTGGTACATCTTAATACAGTCACGTGGTGAGGCGATTTCCACATTCCACTGCAATAAAGTAATATCACCGATACCTATGAAATTGACTATGGGGTACCCCAGTCGCCAACCTTGATCGTTATAAGATTTGTTGAATTTCACGCAAAGCTACTCGAGGACTATCAGCGCTAGCCGTCTCTAATTTAAACGTGATAAACTAGAGGGAAGACGACAGCTAGTCGACACCACCCAACGCCATTTCTTGGACTACTCTTTACTAACGAAAATTTGGATTGATCGTCACATTATAACAACCCCACAGCTGAAAAGGCGAGTATGTTTGTTGGTGGAATTCGAACCCACGACCCACAGATTAAAAGTCGAGTGTGGTTCACTAGGCCCACGTTATAAGAGACTCACTAAAGAAGTTCATATACACAATATTATGTTAAAAATATCGAATCTTGAAATTAAAACTGCTGGATATGTAATAGCTTATATAGGAAGATTGTTGTTGTTGTTTTGTGTGTGTGTGTGTGTTTTTCGCAAAGCTACAGAAGCTGTTATCTACACTCTGTCCGTTGCAGGTAATCGAACTAAGGATTTTAACATTGTCACTTAGTAAAAAACAACATTCGTAAGTTTTGTTTTGTTGATTTTCTTAGCCCTTAGTCTATCGCATAGAAAAAGAAATTCATATAAACTTGATGTGGTAATTCGGAATGAACGTACAAAAAAGCTTTTTTGACATTCAAAGTTGTAAACACCATTAATTGTATGGAAAATGATGAAGAAATACAAATCAATAACGACATTTCAAGAATGAAATGTTTAGAAATATTATTATAATTCAAAACAGATCTTCAGATCAACAAAACAGCACTGACACAGTTTTTTCGATTTACTATTTTATAGCTGCATTTGTGGCATGGCTTTTAGGTAGTAGGCTAGCTGCGAATCGAAAAGCCCAAGGTTCGAGCCACGATGCTGCTAAATAGTGAGTGCATTATAAAAGTAACAATAAATTTTGTAAATCGGTTGTAAATAAAGAACCAGACACAGCTTTTGTAGCAGCCGATGATGCTGACTGACTTGTCTTTCTCTGGTCAGTAGTTAAAAAATTAGGGATGACTTTAACTGAACCTTAGAGTCTGTGATCTAGCCGTTCAAATCGTCAGTTAACGAGTAATTAGTTCATAACTTTGTACTTGTTAAAGTGTAAAACTGGATTTAGCCATTAGATGGCGCATCATATTAAAGAGTTTTAAATATATCACAGATTTATGATACAATGTCTATGAAATATGATAACTTCGGCCATACCTTCACAGTATTTAAAAAACAAACAAACTTGATCTATTGTTGTACATATTAGAATAACATCCGAAAACAAGCAAAGTAAACAAAACAAAAACTACACTGGTGCCACTTGCGCATAGCCGTCCCTAATTTTGAACTGATAGGATACATAAGGAGAAGGCAGCTAGTCAACAGCACCCACCGCTAACACATGTCTGACGGAATAGTGGGATTTGACCGTCACTCTTATGCCGCAACCACGTCCCCAAGGAGCGAATGCATTTTTGACAAACAGATACTGAGCCATGAACCCTTGGATTCATAGTCTTTGTACGCTTACCCTTGGGCAACGCCCAACTCTCGGTCAGCATGATTTCACTATCTTCATAATTATTTTGGATTGATGGAATTAGTGTATTTCCCGTATAACCATATAATGTTTATGAATAGTTATAAGTTGAAGCGGTGATCAAGTCACTAAACCTTTTCGTATCCAGTGTCTCAGGTCTAACTTTAATGATTAGAAGGCAAGATCAGAACACGAACTTCATAATTGTTTTTTTTATTTTTGGAAAATTAATTCTCATACCTAAGAATTACTCTAAATATGGCAACACTACTGATGCTGAAAATTTGCAAAGCAAATGTAACTAACAACAATAACTCCAAAGATAGTGTGTGACATAATTGGAAAAAATGCCCAAAATTTGATGACCGCTCAATACGAACCATTTTTACCTATCCGAAGTCTGTCGTCATGGGGATTTAGCTCCTTTCTGTTCATAAGTATATATAGTTTTTATTCATTGTAAGGACAATTGTCATTTTCAGCAATTGGAAACACACAAAATAATAAAGAAAAATATGGTTTCTGAACACACGAGTATACGTTGTTTCCTCTTCGCTGTACGAAGTTACTCAATCTCAGTTATTTCGAACAAACTTGAGTAAATCCATTCATATATCCTCTTCAATCAAGTACGGGAATCGAGTTTCCAAAGATTCAAATAGATCATTTCTCGTGTAGTTGAGCTGAACTCCTAATTATTGCGTACCAAGGAAAATTACAAGACGGATTCATCAAAGAACATGTGAATCTAAGAAATGTTTGAAGACTTTTGTTTTACTTTGATTTCGAGTATTTCACTGTTTCAACTTGTGTTCTTCAGGTACCACAATCATTTATATCAGAAGAAAATCAAATATCAAACAATCTCAACCACTGCTTACAGCCTTCAGAAAATTATAACACATAATGCTTATTGAATTTTCACAAAATGAGAAATTTAAAACCGGGAAGAGGGTAATCACATCATTATAAACCGATATTAAAAGTTCTAGGAGTTGCTGGCTGTGAAGAGGATGCTGCTGCTTTACGAACGGATTTGGTGAATTGGGCGAATTAATGGCAGATAGCTTATAACTATTAGTTAGCCTTTAATTTGTATTTTTCGTGTTGTATGACTAACAAAAAACAACACAAATATACTAGGTTGTATTAAATTCCATATTTATTGCGTTTAGAAAGCCTCATAATCAATCTCATACAAGTACAGATACAAGATAAGGGTAATAAACGATGAAGTGATAATTACTAGTAAGACATTTAGCAGTATTTTACCGTTTTATTAATAAAATAAAAATGAAAGGCACTGTATTTGTATTACTTTAATAAAAATGATTTTGCTTTAGTGTGTATGATCAGAAAAAGCTGACACATAGGGTTTACATTTCATTATTGTTACCCGAAACATTTAAGAAAATATAAAACCTGTGTATCTCTTTATCTAGGATTAGACTTAAAACGTATACAGTATTGAGTACGATTAATTTCCAGGCACTTGTGCAATACAGGGAATGCTTATAAAAACAGTCTTTGAAAAACTGTAAAACCTGTTCGAACTTTCGTTCAAAAACGAAGTGCAAGAAAAAGAATATTTTCAAAACACCAGTGACCAGAAAAGATTCACTAGGTAAAAATATTAGTACTATAGACGGCTTTTGGCTGATAGTTATACAAAATATCAGGATAAATATGATACCATTGTTTACTACTGCTGTACTTTTGTTTTTCAGATGGTTAATGGTCTTTAAAGGAAGACTAACTAAAATGACTAATACACATTGAACTGGTATAATGTACAACATTTAAATATGATGGTGTTATAACAAAGATTCCAGACACAAAAAGAACTACTTTAAGCATTAAAATTATGAACTGAACCTAAGAACAGTAGAAAATGACAAAAAATCTGATGCTTTATAAGCAAAACAAATAAAAAAATAATTATGTTGATTATTAACACTCTCAATATATCATGAAACTTTCTTCAGTAGAAACCTGTGCTAATCATAACACAGGTTTCTACTGATTACCTGTACTAATCATAACTGTACTTTGTAGCTGGTTATTGCAGATTAAAATATATTTTCTAATCACATTTTTTCTCTTACTCCATAAAAAACTTCCTAGCTAATTACATGGTTAGCTCTTGATGCTAAAGTATACATTAACAATGCTTCACTTAAATCAATATGAAAAGCCTCCTTGCTGTTCACCTTCTATTGAAATCTAGTAAACTTGAGATAAAAATAAAAGTGGGGAGAGAAATTCTTGTGAGTGAATCCATGAAAGGAAACAGCTGAATGGCAAACATTTGAGTTGAATTAATATTATGTATGGAAGATAAGTGTAGGAACTATGCTAGAATCATATTTTAAGACTCTTGTGACAAAAAAACGTTATAGTTCTTTCTCAAGGATTAAAATCACACAGTTTTCTCTAGGTCTTGATGCAAAAAGACTAAGAGATAAAAATTGCTAAGTAAAACAGTTATTTTTTAAAAGGTGTTTCAAAATCATTCAATGTTATAAAAACCTCTGACTAGTGACTTGGTTCATTTGAGTGTAATAACACAATATAACATAGACAGTATGACAAAAAAAAGGCAAATAATGGCCACTTCACATGTGAATTTTTTATACCTCTGTGACTGAATATTAATAATAAGCTAGAAAAAACATGTCAAAGCTCTTCAACACATAAAACAGCAACATTCAGAATAAAAACACTCATTATTCTTCCCTTAATAATGTAACAGTCATGCAATATTTTTAATATTTTTAGAAAAATCTTATTTCTTTCATGTTTTTTTTTGTACAGAAAAGTACAAGATAACAATAATGATGGTTAATAAACTGTTTATAATGAGTTTCCATAAAATTTATCACACACATACGAACACACACATGTATATATATATATATATATATATATATACACACACTCACTTCTGAAACCATCAGGACAACAATTTCAATAAACATAGAAACTAAGTTTCAAGAATAGAGAAACATTAATATTATCATTTTCTTAGGTTAAAAATACTAACATGAACTTCACGTACCACATATTTTAATGTACACACAATAAATCATTTAGCACATTTACATTTCACTTTCATATTACCACATATTGTTAGAAAGCACTGTTCGCTAACTTGTACCTTTAACCAAGCTTTATTCACTGGTATCTTTCTGGCAACTTAATTTTCTTTAAACTTTGAGATAAATTTCATAGATAAAAAAAAACAGGTAATTTCACATTTTTTAAAACTTCTTAAGACTAATAATATTTTTCCTTAGTCTCAAGTGATCAGTAATTACCACTGGTAAACCACAAAAAACAATATTATGCCTCAGTGCTCTTTAGGTTCTTCTCTGTGGACAAATAATGTATATATTTGACATCATCATTGCACAAGAGCACCGATGGTAGGCAAGAAATGGTATGTGCTGTTGAATACAAGGTCTTTTTAAAAGCCTTGAATTTTATCGTCTTTCTCAGAAAATATTAAGTTGATCATTTTGATAAAAATTTGTTCACTATACTGTAAAAAGGAAGATAAGCATAAATATTAATCATACAAGTTAATGTTAGCTGAAATGTCATTTGTACCTTTGGCTGATGGTACAGGAATGAGAAATGGTAAGGCCATGGTATCAGTAATAGCAGTAATGGTATTGGTAATAGCCTAATAGTATTAGTACTAATACTGATAAAACAACAAAGAAGAAAGCTTTTGAAAACTTCTCTAACTGGAATCATGCTAATAAAGAGAAATATGCAAAGAATATAAATACTAGTAGGATAACATTGCAATACTCTTACAGTTATCAGGATGGATAAGAAAATGTTCCAAAAAATGATCAAATGTCCAGTTTGTGGATGTTTATCATTATTTGATAAAAATCAAAAGACAATACATGGTCTTATCATATTAGTGCCAGCATTAGGGTGGGCTGTGCATCCTCAAATTTCAATCTAGTCCACCCAAGTTCATTCTACCTAGTAGTTTAAAAAATCATATTATCAATTTTAAAATATCGTACAATTTTTTAAATCACTAAGAAGAACCAAGAAAGTTCCACTGCCCCCCTCTCCAATGGAAAGGAGCAGGAGCCAGGCCTGTATCATATTGTTAAGAAAATCTCAACGTAACCTTTTAACACAAACTTGGCCAATGTTTTAAGCTTAGAAAAAAAAATGTCAATGTAAACATAACACTAGGCACATTAGGGAGCTTTGATCATCAAAAATATAATAATACTGTAGAAACCAATATTTTTTCATCTCTTAATGTATCCTTCAGTTATATTACATTTTAATTTGAAAATAACTAATACTATTACAAAGAATTCTGTATCAAAACTAGAAGGACATATATCACTATGATTTGCACATCAAATAACACAGCGTAGGTATACTTTTCCTAAATGAACAGTTATATTGCTAAAAATATTACAGATTCTAAGAAAGACAAATCATGGTTATTCTTAATTTCACAAGTAAAATTTTTTGTCACTCCAACATAAATTTTAGATGTGAAATTAGAGTATTACAGATTCATAATCAGCTTTATTCAAGCTGAGGTATAGCATGCCTGTATCACATGTGGCAACAGAGACCAATACATTACACAGCTGCATACAGATACAATAACATAAAATAAGAAATACAAGAGCAATAAATGCACAAGAATTTAGGGGTTAGTCCTGTTCTATTCATTCTGAAGTTAAGATAACTACCAAGGTTACAACACACTTGTTCAGTCAGTCAGTTTATTATTTACCTCGTTCATCTACTTTTATTTTTAAATGCTTTCTAAAAACAAAAGTTAAACCTAAACAGAGAAAAAAATAAAACAATCAATTTCTTACTACACTAGTATAGATGAACATAAGATTTTCATTATAATTTTCTACTTAATATTAAGCATTAAACTAAACTGTGAGTCTGTCTAAGAAAGTTTTGGAATTTAAGTTCAATTTAGTAAAACTTATGGATAAACTAAGGCTTAGAAGTTAGAACTATACTATTATGTCTATTATTCATTTACTAACTGTGACAAAATTCTACCTGCAAATCTTGTTGTGTGCTTGTGTTGTTAGTGTTTTTGGCTTAATAGTATTGATTCACAGTTTTTGTTTTGTAGAATTGTTTGGGAAAGCTGTGAAAAAATAATTCTTTTTATGTCCTTTGTGCAAATAACTGCACAGCAAATGGTATGTGTATTGTAGGACATTTACAATATTTTGCCTACCACAGGTACAAGTAATGCACATGTGACACACGTCACATGATGATGATGATGATGTCATGAGAAGGGTCTATATATAGCTAACTCTTCATCATATATATGATTGGGTAATCCTCCAATATGTGTATCTTACAACATCACACATGAAATTAACTTAGTGCTTTATAAAGCACAGTAAACATTTTAATTTTTATGGAACTTTGTGTAGCCAACATCTACCAACTCTGATAAAGGACAGAAAACTCTGGAATCAATAACAGTTGTCTGTGTACGCCAGGAATGGCCAACTTCTTTATGCTCACTGGCCACTTTCTTACGTTGACTTTAATCTGGGAGCTGAAGCTACATAATCAGGTAAAGTACTTTCAGAATATTTCCTTAATTTGAATTTATATTACTACTGTCTATATTATACACCCTCAGTTAATTACATGGTTTTGAATAAATAGCTGAATTAACATTTGAATAAAGTTCTCAGAACCATCATGGGACTGGTTTGCTTGGTTGTAATTTTTATTGCCAGCTTTGCCAAAATAAAATATGATTAAAAAACAAATGGGCCGGATAAAATATCTTCATTGTTAGTTGTCCATCTATGGTGTACACAATGACTTAAAAACATTTTGCATGAATTGGCAAAACATGTTTAAATTGTTGGTGAAAAAGCAGACAAGTTTTGGTTAAAATAAACTAAGATTTGAAAATGGAACAATGTTTTTTTAAATATCTTTAATTAACAGCAATTGTCTATGAGTATAAATTATCAAGTAATTTAATCTTCAACAATCTTACTGGAATTCTAAGGCTTTGAGGAACACTGAAATTTTCAAAGTTACATTATACCTTTACTCTATACTAAAGAACAATTTGATTTATAACAAAAATTGTCTTTATTCAAAATCATAATTTAAGAGTGCTAATTAGTAGCCAATGCAATATAAAGACTATTAATTATATATATTTTATACATACATGTAAATAAAAAAAATTTTCAATGTTTTTCAGTAAAAGTGCCTTAACCATGTTTTATCAGTTCATTAACAAACAGGATGGTGAGGAAAATACATATATATATATATATGTATGTGTGTGTGAAAGAAATATTTTTCTGAAATGGGCAAAAATATTGTTAAGAAAACATGATTGAAAACAGAACTGTATAACCTATAACTGTTTAAGTACAAAACTTTTCTTTCTGACAAACAAGTAAATACCTGTTTTTAATGTTATATCTTTTGCAAATGCAACATTTATTCTACCAGTTATGTTAACATATCAAGACCTCTGCTTTTTTCCTTTAAAGGTCTGTAACAACAAATACTTCAACTGAAAATAAAAAGGAAAAAGAAAATTCTCATAACATATCAAAAGTAATTAATGGGTTTTAGGAGTGATGATGCTACACCATAATGAAACTGGTAATTAAAATCTCAGCCACATTGTTCTTTACCAAGTCAACATAGGTTTCAAAATACTTGACATCAAAAGTCAGTTTGTATTCATTCTTTTCCTAAGATGAAATATGTTAATTTTTCTGAATATAACAAAAATTCACTATCAAAATATTAATTTTCAAACAATTCTGGCTTGTTTTTACAGTACACAAAAAGCAATCTTTTGGTTAAAGGTAACTTTACAAATTTGCAAGTTATTGTCTTGCTACTCAAAGATTGCTTTTAAATAAAAAAATAAATAAGTTGGTAACAGAAATATAACCCAAATGTAGTAATAGGTGTTTAATTCTTGTGTCAAGTTTTGAAATAAACATGGCCCATCATTTTTTGTTTCACCACATCTCTACTAGAGATAAACGTAATCTGAAGTACACAGTTTCAAAGGCTTAGAAAAGTTCAACTGATTCAGTCATTGTAGTTCTTAAGACATGATGTCTATGAATGGTTGTACATAGTTTAAAATATAATAACTTTTAAATAAAGAAATATTAACACATTCAGTGAAGCACACATTGTCCTAAAAGTCTCAACTTTCATACCATTATTCTACCTCAGTCTAAACCAAGATTCAAGATTTCATCAGCAGATAATGTCAAAATGGTGACTATTCAGCAAATGCACAGACCATTATGTGATAAGTGCAGTCTTTGTGCAGTGTTGTTTTTGGCAATTTTATCAAGCATGAAGAACTACTGAATTATGCAATTAACCAATGGTTTAAGTAGTTCAAGAACACAGGATTTCAGTGTGTACTAAGAGGAGCACTGGATGATTCAATATGAATAATCATACTTTCACCTCAATAACTGAGTCACTGAAATCACATATTTGGACATTTCTTTCTTCCCACACTTGGAAGCTGATGATGTTATTGGCACATGTTTCTTTCAGCAAGGCAGGGTACCACATTACTTTCCACTCTGTGTTTCTGAGATGCCAGTTTGTCCATGTAGGTCTATTACCCTGGGAATCACATTCTCTAGACCTACTAGATTTTTGACTGTTGGAATAAATCAAGTCTACAATTTAAACTTCACATTCAATTACACATGCTGGCCTTAATAATCATACCTTGGAAACAACAGATAAATTCCAGGAAACTTTCTTGTCAATAAAAAAATAATGTGAAACATGAGGGCATGTAGAGCAATGTGTACTCCATCACACATTTTCACGTTCCTTTGTTTAGAAGTTATGTTTATAACCATTCATAGAAATCCTCTATCTTAGCATAATCTCAAATATAAATTATAATTTTAAAGTCTTACAATAGTAAAATTTTATATTTACATGTACAACATTTTGCAATTACTATACTATGACTACAATCAAAGCACACAATGATGATAATATCACTGTTTGTACAAATGCCCACATAAACACATACAAGTTTCCACAGTCTTTAGTAACCTTGTGATATCAAAAACTTTCCTTTACTTGGCGAATTACATTCTGAAGCTTGCTCAAAGAGTCTGATGTTTTCTGGTATAAAGACTGTAATTCTATTTGTTTCTGCTTCTGGTTCTACAAAAAAAAAAAAAAAACTGATCAGTTTTTAACTTAAATATACAAATATAATTTTCATTTCTTATAAATTTACTATATACATGTATTATCTGTGTGTATATGTTTATACTACTTGCTGCACCCTCTACATTTTTCACTCTTTACATCTGCAATTCACTCTCTTTTTAGAGAGTACAAAAGTCATTATTTTCTTCCTTACTGTACATGAACTGTTAGAATAGCATTATACTGGTTATTTTATTACTAATTGTACAATATTAACTGGTAAACAAAGGTAGGGAGATTAGAATTAAAGATAAAGTATCTGTCAATAAGTGTAGGTTTTTGGTAGATTTCTCTGGTCATACCAACAGTGAAGTTTTCATCCCCCTTTCAAGTCCTATATATAAAATTAAATGAGTCCTAGACATAAGGTGAGACAGAGAAGCTTGGGCAAGTCTTTGTTGTATGTGTTCATAAGATAATATTTACCTATTTCTAATAATGAATAGTAGAGCAATGGCAACAATTGTAAACATCTTTAAGAAACGTTTCGAAATTACATGTATTCAGCAAATCTATGAAAATGACAAATTGAACAATCTTTAGAACAAATTACTAATGTAAAAATACAATGACTAGTGTTAGAAAAATTATAAAACATTTAATTCAATTCAACTCAACAGGCTACTCAAGTACTTCTACCCCCAGGTTAAACACTGTATTGTCTTCAAATTGTCACTTTGTATCAGTAGCTTTTTTAGAACTAAAGACACTGTACCTTCACTCTTACATTCAAAGGTCAAATATAAATATATATGTGGTAGCTGCAAAGCCATTTACAAAGGCAAGACTTCTCACCACTTACAAATATGCACCTTGGAACACATGAGAGCTTCTAACAGAACTGGATTTAAACTTGAAACTCCACATAACTCTTCTATATATTCTCACAACTAAACGTCATCACAATCCATTTCCTTAGAATACTTTTCTAATTTCTAGCTGTAATAACCACAAATTGTTCATAAAAGAAAGTGTATATATTATGAATGAAAATTCAAGCCTCAATAGAAATTCAAACTTGTTCCCCCTTGCTTTATTAAAATAACTCTCTCTCTTTTTTTAACTGAACATTTTATAACTTTTATAACACTATTCATTGTATTTTTTATATTAGTAATTTGTTCTAAAGATTGTTCAATTTGTCATTTTCATAGATTTGCTGAAAATGGAATATGTGAAACTCTGAAACATTCATTAAAGATGTTTGCAATTGTTGCTGTTGCTCTACTACTCATTATTAGACTTTGTTTTCCACCAGATGTATCATTTACCTATTTCTTGTTTTGACCTACACCAGAACGCACCTTAGGTTTAATTCTTCCCAACATTTTTCTATAATACATGGTATATGTGATGCTTAATGATACATGACAGAGCCAAATACATCTAAACTCAGTACAAATAGTAGTAAAAAAAAATTAACTCTTCATCTCCTATGGTTACCTCCACACACATGGATTTATCAATCAAATTCTCAAGTCTTACGAGACAAAAAATCTGCAATCTAATCTTCCACATTTCCATATAAACCACAACTAACCAGAATCTCAAAGCAAAATGTAAAAGTAACAATTTGTTTCATTTGATCTCATCATAACTCAATAAAATGCCTAAGAAATAAATTTTTTATACTTATTCTTTTTCTAGAAGTAAACTTCAACTTACAGATATAACTGATATCAAATGTTGGGCTTTTTCTTCTAGTTGCATCTTTTCACTTCTTAATTCCATACTCCTCTTCACCAAGTTCTGTTTCTCTTCCTTTTTTGCTATGAAAGCATTATTATTTTTGCATCACATGTACCAAAGAATTTCCAACACAGTAAAACCTTTTTTAATGGAAATAGATTTTCCTAAAAATCTAAGAGTTGCATAATATTATGACTAAGGGACATACATGCATAAATAAACAAAGTAACTGCTACATTTTTGTCTTCAAATTAATTATTGTCAATTTGTAAGTAACAAAAATGTTGAAAAATCTTTTTCCTTATTTTTTGATCAGCATTCAAAAGTTATAATTTTCCTACACTGAAAATATATTTCTGATAGGTACTTACCCACTATCAAATAAATAGCTATTCTTGTTCAGTTCTGCTCTCTATATGCAAACATTTTTTTTTATGCATGCCACAAGCCTTCTATCTCCCCTCCATTGGAATTGGCTGATTCCAATACATCTATCATGCAAATCATCAAGTGTCAACCCCCCACCAATAAGAGTGTGACATACTCTCATGACACATGTGACTTCCTCTATTCAATTCTACCGAACTATCATTTCAAGTTTTGGCAGAAGATGGAAGCACCGGTTTTTAGTGGGGAGGAAGTTTGAGAGGAGGTAAGTACCTATCAAAAATACATTTTCAGTGTAGGAAAATTATAACTTCTGATATGGTACATTACCTCTGCTCACATAAATAGCTATAATCCTACATTGAATAAGTGGATGAACCAGAGCGAGGGAAAGAAGCATCTTTTGAAAGTGTCCGAAAGACACTCCCTAACATGAGACAGTCAGATTCTAAGATCTGAGGTGGGGAACTGCATTACTTCTGAACAGGCATATTCTTTGCCCACTGTAGAAAGCATATATGGGTGAAAAACAGAGGAGCATGTCCAATTGGAAGAGAACTATGGCTGGTGATCTGAACTATGCAATATTTATGAAACTCAGTCCCAGAAATTATAAAAGTGGGTAAAATGAAAAGGATGTGCCCCAAGGTGTAGAGTGGCTAGGGCATGACAGACTGTATATAGCAAGTCAACTACATCCAAAACCCATGCTGCTGGGAAACAGACATCCATGTGGAGGTAGGAAAGAGGATCATACCAACAGTGAGTCAACTGCAAACCAAAACCCAGGCCACCAGGAACTGACATCCATGTAGAGGTAGGAAGGAGAATCATACCGTCTTCACCTGAAGTTCATGAGACCGGAGGGAATCTAGTATCCCTCGACTCAAGAACGAGGCACATGTGAATATGATAAATCGATCTGGGAACCCAACATCCAGTATTGAAAAGATGTCTACAAAAGGGAAATTGACTGGAACCACCCCAAGCACATTAAAATCCCTGGAAAAAGAAACATCGAGGGATAATGGAAGGAAAAGAACCAGAACAATCTGCAATTACCTCTACAAGGATGCACAACGCAGATGGAATATAATCAAAGGAGGAATATAAACATCTGTAATACATGTGTGAGGACTCATGTTGATTGGTTCTACTGTAAATCCAAAACCTGGCCACTGGCAACTGACATGAGGGTAGGATGAGGGATCCCAATTGAAGGGATGAACTGCAATTTTGATGTCACACTTCCATTTGTTTTCATGTTACATATTGGAGAATATCATGTCATCAACACCAGCAGAACACACCACTGCCCTACTTTCAATTGAATGGTTTTATAATCATTTCTATTTTTTGTTCGTATTTCATTATCCCATTAAGGAGGATGCCTCCATGGTCCACCACCCCAGCAGCTTGGAACTGGAAAGTGGTAAGGACTCTCAAACTCCACTAGAAGAAAAGGGTGGTAAAATTCAGCGGAGAATTTGGAGGAATGACAACACATGAGACAGTGCAATGGGTGACCACAAAAACCCTATTTATAAAAGCTGATCATACTGATTTATTCAATACAAGCCATGGCAGAGATGGATAGCTATCCCCTTCTGCATTACCCATGTAGTCCATGGGTGGATACTGTCCAGGACAGGTAAACTTATGAAGTAATTCTATCTTGTGGAACACCCCATCTCTGCAGTGTGCATTGTGTGGCCATGGAATTAGGCAAAATGAGGCAGTGCAGGACTACATTAATATCCCGGGCAGCCTGCCACGACGGACAAAAAATCTGGAAAGAACACATCCATAGGTAAAGTTTAGGAGAGGTAAATATCTGTAGGATCAGGAAAAATATAAGATGTAGGACAGGACTACCCAAAATCCGAGACCAAGGAGACAAAAGACCCCCAATCCAAAAGTAAATAGAGGATATCTGCATGGCTAAGAACAGTAGGTTGATCAGGGGAAAATCCTGGACCCAGAAACCAACAATGGAAGAATTCCATTTGCATTAAGAAACTTCCATGTAAGAATGGCAAATGAAACAAGCCAGAAAAGAGGCTAACCATCGGGAGAAGTCGGATCACCTTGCCAATAACCAGAGGAAAACCAGGTGTTAAGACAGAGGAAAAAGTAACAGAGGAGGAAGTTGAAGCTGGAGAAGCCATGGAAACCACAGCTGAGATGGACAGGAAAGAGCTATCAGAAGGACTGAACCTGGAGTGTCAAGGATGAATGAAATCACCTGGAGAAGAACGGGAGGATAGACAAATGTGTAGGTCTAAACCTGGCTGAAAACATCAATAGCCAGAGCAAGAAGACGAGGAACCGACAAAAACCAAGGTAATTTGTGGTTAAGGAACATAGCAAAAGCCTCAATGTGAGGAGTACCCCACTAAAGTCAAAGCCACTGGGAAACAAAAGGATCGAGAAACCACTACGTCGGATAAATGCTGTTTGGACAGGAATCCGATCCATGACAAGAGCAAAAGAACCTGGAATATGAGACGTAATGATAGGAATATCGAGTATGTGGGCCCAAAAAGAAGATCCAACTTATGAATACAGAGGGATGGAGAACAAGTGACTGAGATAAGCAACCACTGAAGAAACCAGACAATTTCTAACCAGATGGAGAAAATGAACTAAAACATGACCTACAGTGAAAAGTTCCAAGATATTGATAGGATAAGACCTCTCGGCCTCAGAGCAAAAACCTAGAATCTTCCAGTTGATCAACCCATGCCCTCCATTTCCGATTGGATGCATCCATGAAATATTGAAAACTGGATGAGGAGGAGGAAGTAGGACACCTGCCGACTTGTGAGGCATATCTAATCACCAACGCTGATTGACGACAAGGGTAGGAGGAAGGGTAATAATAGCCGACAAAGGATCCCTGCAAAATTCCACTGGTCATAAATACCTCATGTAAGAGCCTGCATATGAACCCGACCTAAGAGGATAAGTGCTATCATGGAAGATCACATACCCAAAAGCGATAGAACTTCACAAACTGAAAACCCATTGAACGAAGTCAAAGAGGAGAAGGGCGGGCCCGACTGAGATGTGTGTATAAAATGAAAAACACCCAAATACACAAAATATTGGATAGATCACAGTAGGGAATTCTCCAACTTGATTAACAGCCCATTATAGCTGTCGCCAGGAGCAGCTGATAAGGGTAACAGGCAGACTCTTGTTCAGAACAAGCAAACAGTAGCCAGTCAACCAAAGAAAGAGTAAAGTGCAACCCAAGAGCATATAAGTGACGAATGAATGTTCTGAATGCCCAAAAAAACATACAGGGCTGAAGCAAGTCTCAAGGTCAGTGCAAGAAACAGAGAAACCACCCTGTGGAAAATTAACTGAAATATTGGGATATGCAAATAATCATTCACAGCATTCCTCTGTGTTATCAATAAACCTGGAGAAAAAGCCCACCTAAGGTTGAGAAACGACTCAAAGGTAAAATGGAGCAGATTGAAAATAAAAATGAGGTGGGAGAAACCTAGTACAAGCTGCTAGTCTCTGGTTTGGTGCAAGGAGAACAAATAGCCTGGAATAAAAGCCTGGAAAAAGATGATTAACTAGAGACAGAAATCTTATACCTCCTTGGACAGATGCAGACTTGTGGCAGGATCCTAAGTCATGGGGAAGGAAAATGGTACCAATGACAAAGGAGGTGGGAAAAAAAATAGTAGGACAAGTCCCTCTGATAAAACCCAAAGAACCCATGGAACTGTAGTGAAAGGTCACCAAAGGGTAAGAATATAATATAGTCAAGCTCCTACTGGACCGGAGCTCTCTGGTTAGTCTCAGATACTGTTGGCGACATGTGCATCAACAATGAATAAAACAATGAGATGAGAAACCCCTGGAAGGAGGACGGAGACAGGTAGATAAGGACTAGGAGGAGAAAGGAATAGGGGCGTGTCATGGCTCCAACTGTGCAACCAAAGAGGAAAGGGTCGAATGTTGATGCACAGATTACACAGTCTCAGAGATATGATCAAATACATATTATCAAAGAAAAAAAAAAGAAAAAATCCCGAAATGCAAAAAGCGGCAAATATACCCAGGACAAGGTCACATCATGATCCAGAAAATCCCAACTACAGTATAACCACATGTGTAAAGTGAGAGCCGAAGACTACAAATGAACCAATATGGAGGTAATAGGGAATCACACAAAAATTAAAAATTGGATAAAATATAACATTCCTGAGAAATCACATCAAAAAATGCTGTATTAGACCTAGCCAATTCTGCAGGAGGGGTAAGGAAAACACTTCAAATTCCATTGATATAAAAAGGCTATCAAATGTTCATCAGCCCAAACAGGTTCGGCTTGATCAGAAAGATTAATGGGGAAAGTTCAGGAGAAGAAGGTTGACCCATGTAATGAATAATCTTACGATGGATAACAGCAGAGAAATCCAATGACATGTCTTCCCCACCTACACGCTGTGAAAATAGTGCAAGAGGTATAACACCCGAATTGGGAACATGAACCTCAGAATTCATTGTAAAAATACACAAATCAAACAAAAGTGTTTGATGTAAAATATGTGTGAGAAAAAAAATAAAAACTGGGAAATTAAGTTAAATTAAAAAATTTCTTCAATTCAAAGAAAAATAATAATAATGAAGAAATCCCACTTTGGAAATCAAACTATTAAAATCATGATACACACGAGAGCACCAAAAGAAAAAAAAACATCTGAACACGGGTACTGCCAAACAAGAAATAATAATTTGGTAGAATTGAATAAAGGGAGTCACGTGTCATGAGAGTATGTCGCACTCTTATTGGTGGAGGGTTGATGCATGATGATTTGCATGAGAAGCATACTGGAATCACTCAATTCCAATGGAGGGGAGATAGAAGGCTTGTGGCATGCGTAAAATATTTTTTTGAATATAGAAAGCAGCACTGAACGAGAATAGCTATTTATGTGAGTAGAGGTAATGTACCGTATCGGAAACACTAATTTTTCTAGTTAGAAATGGTAGTGATCATGTAATTAAAATAAATCAAGTATTTAAACTGTAAACTCAACATGTAATAAAACTGTGCAAATCCTTAGTATTGTGTATCATACAGTAAATCTGCGTATGACAACACAGAATGTTTTACAAACATCATTGGTAAGGAATTTTTGCTGCGTGTAACTGATTAATGACAGAAGTGAACATGAAACTTTTTTGCTGTAACAACATTTGAATGAATATATCATGACTTTTATAAGCTATTCACCATACGTACAGAAGGTTAATTTTTGCATTTTTTTTACCACTATTTTACCCCCTGTAAATGAATCTTCACCAAATTTGGTATAGAGGTTCACTGGGTCTATGGTGAGATACATACAAATTTTCAATTATGCATCCTGCAGTTTTTATGGGTATTTTTGCATTTTTTACCACTACTTCGCTACCTGTTGATGGATCGTCGCTAAATTTGGCATGAATAACTGTTGGGTCCATTTGGAGATACATACAAATTTTCAATTATGCATCCTGCAGTTTTTATGGGTATTTTTGCATTTTTTACCACTACTTCGCTACCTGTTGATGGATCGTCGCTAAATTTGGCATGAATAACTGTTGGGTCCATTTGGAGATATATACAAATTTGTGGTTT